GTGATGGTAGGCGTTTTCGGCACTGGGATGATGGTTGCAGATTTTAAACAGGGAGGGATGACAGCCTGGGCCAGGGAGAGATTGAAAATTCTGGTGAAGGTGGGGGCGAGCTGGAGGGCACATGCTTTGAGCACCCTGCCAGGTACTCCATCTGGGCCAGTAGCTTTCCTGGGGTTCACTGATTGGAGGGAACGTCTAACATCATGCTCCCGTACAGTGAGTGGAGTGGTGCAGTAACCGGGTGGGTGTGGGGACAGGGCAGGATCAGATGGGTGCTGCTGTGGTGCATCAAAGCATGCAAAGAGGCAGTTTAGCTCCTCTGCTAGTGATGAGCTAAACTGCTTCTTTGCACGCTTTGATGCACCACAGCACCACAAATATATGCTGACATATGCTGACAATAAAACGTGTGCTTGAATGCGTCAGGCAGGGGACTAGTTCACCTCTGTGGATTTGAAATATGCAAATTTTCATATTCCAATAATAAAAAAACACAGGAAATTCCTGCACTTCTCTTTCGAGGGGGTCAGGTACCAATACAACAGACTCCCTTTCGGTTATTCACTTGCCTCGCGCACGTTCTCAAAGTGCGTAGAAATGGCACTGCATCTGCTGTGCACGGCAGGGATGAGGGTTCTATTTTATCTGGATGATCTGCTTCTACTGACCCAGTCCAGAGAGGAAGCGGAGACCCAGACGAGCACTCTGGTGTCACATCTGTCTCATCTGGGTTTCACGATAAATTGGGAAAAATGCTCAACAACCCCATCCCAGCTCATCATGTATCTGGGAGTGGACCTAAACTCAGTCACCATGACAGCCTGCCTGTCGCTCCAGAGGAGGGAATCCCTGACATCACTGCTTCAACGAGTCAGTGTCCACAAACCAGCAACTGCTCTGACATTCATGAGGCTGCTCGGGATGATGTCAGCGGCTCATGTTTTCATCCCACTGGGTTTACTGCACATGAGGAGGCGTCAGAGATGGTTCAATTGTCAACGTCTTAACCCCTCTCGCCACAAGTTTTGAATAATTACCACCCCTCCATCGGTGGGGGCGGATCTGAGTCACTGGGAAAACTCTCAGAGCCTCCTGAAAGGGGTTCCTCTGAGTAGAGTGACGTCATTCATTTCCGTGTTCACAGACACGTCCCTCTCAGGCTGGGGGGGACATGTCTGTCCCAGTCAGTGGGTGGAACATGGCCTCCTCATGTGTCTCTCCACATAAACATGCTGGAGCTGATTACCATGGGTAAGGTAATCAAACACTTTACCCCGATGCTGCGGGACCATCATGTGATGATACACACAGACGACAGAACCACAGCAGCCTACATAAATTGCCAAGGGGGCGTTCACTCGGCTCAGCTGCTGGATGCGGCCAGAGAGTTGCTCTGCTGGACACACAAGCATCTCTGGTCCATCAGAGCTGTTTACATCCCTGGGGTGCTAAACAGACAGGACAATATTATGTCCAGGGGTGGACCTCAGGAGGATTGGTGTCTCAATCCGGACCTGACTCTTCAGATTTGGTCCAGATTTGGCAGGGCAAATGTGGATTTAATGACCACCAGGGGAACCACTCAGTGTGAACTGTTTTTCTCCCTGAATCCGCGGGACGAGCCTCCACTGGGGGTGAATGCTTTGGCACACAAACCGTCGTCCCAGACGTTAATTTATGCTTTTCTTCCGACCCCTCTAATTGGACAACTTTTGGAGCGGGTCCGGGAGGAACAGTTTAAGGTGATCCTGATCGCTCCAGAACGCATGGGCACTCTGTGGTTTCTGGTGCTCCAACGGCTGACGGGCACACCATGGAAACTGCCTTGGCAGGAGGATGCGCCCTTATAGGCAGGAGGAGCGATCAGGAGCCCTCTGAACGGGAACGCTTAGACATAAATGGTGTTTGGGGAGGGTCATGGTTCCGACCTCTTGCCCTTTAAGTTGTTTTATCCTTCTTGCAGCTGCTAATGGACAGAAATCTGCTCTTCAGCACGTTTAAAATGTGTGCTGCAGCCTTTATTCCTCCTGTCACGAGGGGTTTTAATGACAGAATTTTAAATTTGGATGGTTTTTCTACCTCTCCCCACACACTCCTCTTCTGAAGAAGAGGCTCAATCTCACTTATTCTGTCCTGTTCATGCACTCGTTCACTGTTCATGCAAACTCTGTGAGTAACCTGAGTACTCAGTTCTCACTTGTGTTAAGAAACGCGTGTATGTTACGGCATTTATCGGGTACTTGAGTTAACTGCACCTACTCACGACAGAGGGATTAGTCAAATCATGTGTTAAAGCAGTTTTTTCTGGTTATGTGCTCTTTGGTTCGGACGGATCCAGTGAGGCTTGGACTAGATCCTGCTTTGCCTTTAACCCACTAGGCATGGCTTACAGGGCAAACACCACAAGAAATAGAATGTAGGTTACGTATTGTAACCACAGATTCTATGATTGTGGGCGTAGCCCTTTAAGCACCGGGCCTCACTGGCTCTCAGGTGGCTGAAGAAAAAGTTAGTTATTTGGGAGCTGAGCCACGGACTCGCCGGTATTTATGTGGTCTAGGTGGGGCCCATACAGTGGGTGGGCGTGGACTTGAGTTTTCAGTGTTGGCATGCTAGGTGCAGGGTTATCATGATCTGCGTATGGGTGTTAGAACCCATGTGCAGGAAGACGCTGAGAGACTCCAGTAAAAATAAGTAATAAGTTTATTTTCTAAATAAACAAAACAAAAAGCTGTCGAGGCAGAAAAACCTACTTTTGGGAGGGCACACAGGGGTACAGCGCATGAAGCCTTAGGACAAGGACAATACAGAGACAAAAACATAACACCTAGGAGCTGAATATATATAGACGCTGACCAGGTGAAATGACAGACACCTGCGGTGATTAGGATCAGACACAGGTACGACAGTGCTGGATCACAGGAGGAGAAATGCTGAGGGGTGACAGGCAAATACGAGGAAAAACACAACATGTATGACAAGACCCCAGAAACCCTACAGGGGTTACACCCTCTAGGTGTGACTTAAAGGGCTACGCCCACAATCATAGAATCTGTGGTTACAATACGTAAACTACGTTCCTGGCAAGACCCAACGCAGACATGTTCCTGTTTTTAGTTTTCTACACCACCTTATAATCTAGCTGTTTTCTCGCTACTTTTTTCCTTTTGACTGTCTTTTTGGTTGCCATCCATCCATCCATCCAATATCTTTTACCTGTGTATTCCA